GGGCTATGTGTGTGGTGGTGGGGAAACAGTTCCAACTGCCCATCTGAAACATGCCAAAAGCTCTGTCTTCTATCTCTCTTGAAGCTTTTCAAGCCAAGACTCTGACTTCCTAGTGTCTGCAAATGATTTCAAGTTGATCATGATCTCAGAACTCATTTGTCAGCCTAGTTTGCAGCTCCTTCTTTGGATCTGATGCTCTAGAATTTTCTCTATGTTCTTTTGGGCTCAGCTATGCATTTAAAAGGACGTTTCAAAATTTACCCAAAATTTTTTGAAATTTTGTTACAAGAGATATCTTGTCAAACACATTAGGAGAAACAAAAGTTTTAGGGTTTCAATTTGACTTAAAAAAAAATCTTTAATAATAAACATGAATCTGTTTAACTCTTCAACTCATTCTCTCTTCAACTTTGTCTACTTTTAACTGATCCATTGACTCAGTTGCAGGGGTTACCAAGATAAACAAGACTTCAAGAAACTTATAGTCTAGTTATGCAGACAAGTAAGTAATAATTAATGAATAGTGCTAAATGAAATAATCACCAAATGGAAATTTAAATAGGTTGTGGCAAGGCAGATGGAGGACAGATGTTTTTATTTCATAGGATTTACACTGTTACATATTTCTTATAGGTCTGTAATTTGTGTTTCTAAAAGTATTGGTATTCTATCATTCAGGCCTGATTTAGACAAGGACGATTTTGTTTTGTTTTTTGCTTCTTTACATTTCCCTAAACTGCCTAGATTAAATACAGAATAAACTGGGGACTTCTGCTTCTGAGAAGATGAAACGGGCATACTTTCCCCTATTCTTCCTACAAAGTACAATGTAAAAATACTTAACATTATATATAAACAAACATAAGATTCTGAAAGATGAAGAGAAGAAGGCAGACTGGTTAGGAAGTCTGGACCTGAGTAACACTACACTAATAAGTTCCAAGTATTTTCTTTTTGCCTCATATATCTCAGAGTTAGAACTGAAAAAGCAAGAAATGCAGAAATGCCACTAGACATAGATAAAGACAAAAAAAAAAAAAAAAGGCAAGCTCAACTAAAGCCTGTTTTCTCTAGCCAAAGGACCAGGAAAGAGGCAGCTTAGCAAGGTAGAAAACTTACCTGCTATTCTATAGCCAAATACCACAGGAAAGAACTATGGTCCCACCACCATCCATGCTGCGAAGTCTGTCGGGGGCCTAGATTTCCTTCCTTATCAGCGGTAAGAAGGTGCCACAACCTCCTTCCAGACTAAAGTCAGGCAGGGTAGGCCTGGGACTCTCATCCGCATTTGGCAGTAATGAGCTCCCCACTCCCTACAGAGTCAGTGGAGACCACCTGGTGAGCAATAATTAGGCACTCCTGCCCCTCCCAGCCAGGGTGGTCTCAGAAAGGCCTGATAAAGAAATGGGAATTCTACCCCAGCCCAACAGTAATGAGGAGCTCTTTTCCCCACTGTGTGCCAAGAGAGGCCTAGGAGAAACCTGGACAACTACCAGTATTTGACAGTAATGAGGTGGCACTCAGGGACCTGTGGGACTGTAACAAAAGATCTAACATCCATGCTATTGGCGTCTTGGAAGGAGAGGAGAAAGACGGTATAGCTGAAAAAGTACCTGATGATATAATGGTTGAACTTTCAAATTTGGTCAACCCCTCCCACTCCCAAAAAGAACAACTATTAAAAAAAAACTATAAACCCATAGATTCAAGAAGTTGAGTCAATTTCAAAAAAGTTAAACTCAAAGAAATCCACAGCAAGACACATCATAGTCAAACTTCTGAAAACTAAAGACATGGGAAAAAGTCTTGAAAGCAGTGAGAGAGAAAAAACTATCTATACTATAGGTGAAAAACAATTTTAATGACAGGATTTCTTATTAGAAAACTCGGAGGCCAGAAGGAGCTGACATACCATTTTTCAAGAACTGCAAAAAAGGAACTGTCAACCTAGAATTCTATATCCAGTGAAAATATGCTTCAGGAATGAAACAGAAATCAAGACAGTCTCAGATGAAGGGAAACTAAGAGATTATGTTGCCAACATATATACCCTAATAGGATGGCTAAGGACATTTTCTAAACAGAAAGGAAATGCTAAGAGAATGAATTTTGTAATGTTAGAAAGGAAGACAAATGAAGAGTAAAATTATGGGTAAATATAATACATTTTCCTTCTCTTCTGGAGGTTTAATATTAGATTTTTTATGGTTGAGGCAAAAATCATAATACTATCTAATGAGGTTATAAATGCATATAAAGAAAATACTTAAATTGATATATTGAAGATATACTGAAGTCATAACCCACAGTACCTCAGAATGTGACCTTAGTTGGAAATAGAATCACTGCAGATATAATTAGTTATGATGAAGTTATCCTGGAGTAGGGTAGGCTCCTTTCCCAATATGACTGGTGTCCTTATAAGGACATGTGAAGACACAGAGACACAAAGAGACCACCACATCATAACAAAGGCAGAGATTGGAATTATGCAGGTAAAAGTCAAGAAATGCCAAAGATTGACAGCAAACCACCAGAAGCTGGGAAGAGGTAAGGATGGATTCTGATACACGTTTCAGAGGAATCATCCTCCTAGTGACACATTGATTTCTGACTTCTAGCCTCCAGAACTATATTTGAAGAGGTATTCTATAGCTACAGTAAACAAGAGAGTGTGGGATTGGTGAAGAAACAGATACATAGATCAATGCAACAGAATTTAAAAGACCCATAAATAGATCCACACAAATATACCCAAATAAATTGTGAGAAATGTATAGCAATTCGATGGGAAAAGGATCGCCTTTTCAACCAGCGATCCTGGAGCAGTTGGGCATCCATAGATTAAAAAAATAGACATCTACCTAAGCCTCATATCGTAAACAAAAACTAACTGAATGTGAAATGCAAAACTATACAAAACTTTTAGGAAAAAAATAGGAGAAAAGCTAGGATTTGTCATAGAATCCTCAGACTTGACACCAAAAGCATGAATGTGAAATGCAAAACTATACAAAACTTTTAGGAAAAAAATAGGATAAGCCTCATATCGTAAACAAAAACTAACTGAATGTGAAATGCAAAACTATACAAAACTTTTAGGAAAAAAATAGGAGAAAATCTAGGATTTGTCATAGAATCCTCAGACTTGACACCAAAAGCATGAATGTGAAATGCAAAACTATACAAAACTTTTAGGAAAAAAATAGGAGAAAATCTAGGATTTGTCATAGAATCCTCAGACTTGACACCAAAAGCATGAATGTGAAATGCAAAACTATACAAAACTTTTAGGAAAAAAATAGGAGAAAATCTAGGATTTGTCATAGAATCCTCAGACTTGACACCAAAAGCATGATCCATAAAGAAGAAAAATTGATAAATTGGACTTCATCGAAATTAAAAACTTTTGTTCTGTGAAAGAACACAGGTGAAGAAGGTGAAAAGACAAGTACAGACTTCAAGAATATTTGTGTGCCACATATTTGATGAAGGTTTAGTATCTAGAATATATAAAAGAACATTCAAAATTGAAATGGAAAAAAGAAACAATCCTATTAGAAAATGGGTAAAGACATGAACAGACATTCCATCAAAAAGGATATACAGATGGCAAATAAGCACATAAAACCACATTTGACACAATTAGACATCAGGGAAATGAGAATTAAAATCACACTGAAATATCAGTACATACGCTTAAGAATGGTTAAAATAAAAAACAGCAATACCACCAAATGTTGGCAAGGATGCAGAGAAACTGGGCCACTTATACACTGCTGGTGGGAGTGAAAAATGATAGAACCGCTCTGGAAAACAGACTGCCAGTTTTGAGAAAAACTAAACATACAATTACAATACAACCTAGCACTTCCATTATCGGCATGTATTCCAAAGAAATGAAAATTTATATTCACATGAAAACATGTAAACAGATATTCACAGCAGGTTTATTGATTATAGTAAAAAACTGGAAACAATCCAGGTGTCATTTAACAGGTGAATGGTTAAACCGGTATATCCATATGGTGGAGTACAGCTCAGCAATAGAAAGGAATAAAGTATTGACACACTCAACAACTTATATTAATCTCCAATGAATTATGTTATGTGCAGGCCAATCCCAAAGGTTACATATATTATATAATTTCATTTATATAACATTCTTGGAATGAAAAAAAAATAGAAATGAAGGACAGATTAGTGGTTGCCAGGGGTTAAGAATAGAGGGCGAAGGGATGGATGGGAGGGAAGTGGATGTGACCATAAAAGGACAACACAGGGATCCTTGCGTTGAATAACAAAAATTATTCTGTTTCTTGCCTCTATCAATGTCAAACCCTGGCTGTAATATTGCACTATAGCTTTGCAAGATGTTTACCATTGGAGGAAATTAGTAAAGAATACTAATTTCTTACAAATGCATGTGCTTTTTACTCCAAAATAAAAATTTAAGTAAAAAAAGAATAAACCATAAATCATACCATTTATTGAGCACCTATGTATGGGCAGGCCCTCCTATGTAAGGTAGTCAAATGAATACATTATTTAATCTTCACAAACTCTATAAAGATTATGCCTATTTCCTAAATCATTTTTCTGGAACACTGGTTCTTTATGACATTAATAGCCTTCTTTGAGAGGTGTTCTATAAAAAGGCTTTCTTAGTCAAATAGTTTAAGAAACAAATTTTTTTTTAGTCTAGGGTTTTTAAAAGCCTTTAATATACTAATGTACATTACAAACAATATGAGGCCATCATATATTAGCTTTCCTCAAATTTCTTTGATTTTGGAACTCTTGTTTTCACATGATGCCTATTAATAATTTGCTTAAAGAACTAATATTCCTTATTATTATACTATAATAAATGTTGACATAGTTTTCCATCAATATCCCTGTTGGAGGTCAGTTTTGTCTGTTATTTCAATTTAGGCTGTAGATTTACTGCCTGCATGTACTCTAACCATACCACAGTGTTGATGATCCAAACTACTTACCATGTAACAATATAAATAGATCGAAGTACTAATGTGAAGACCAACATTCCATACATGACCTAAATAAGAAAGTAAAAAATGATGTTAGTAAAATCATGATTCTTTGGCAAATGAAGTATATTTTGCCTACAAAAATAGCCCAATTAAATGTAAACATTTATTATCTTCTTTATATTTTAAAGAACAGAATTTTTATAAAAAGATTTTATTTATTTTGAGAGAGAGGGGAAGGGAGGGAGCAAGAGAGGGAGAGAAACATCAATCGGTTCCCTCTCGTATGCCCCCACCTGTAGACCTGGCCCACAACCCAGGCATGTGTCCTGACTGGGAATCGAACTGGCAGCCTTTTGGTTTGCAGGCCAGCACTCAGTCCACTGAGCCACACCAGCTAGGGCTAAAGAACAGAATTTTTTAAAAAAATTAATCATATAATTAAGACTCATGCCAACCTTTGAGGAAAAATTAAGAGCCTTCTTGTGAATAACCAGTACCAGAAGTTCTATATCAATTTAAATATCTGAAGCCTGAACAAATGCTATATTTTTGCCTCACTCTCCCTAGATCCTTCCCTTCTCTTTAATTTCACTTTCGGCAAATGATTCTACTTCCCATTTTATAACAGTATAAATACAAACTCTTTTAAATTCTCCTTCTGAATGTTTCTGTATTCACAAAAGTTGTCTTCTCCCCATACTCTTTCTCCCATTCCTAGTCTGTAAAGTGGTGCCTTTCTCTTCTTAAGTTAATCAAATGTGGGTTCTTTATTCCATGTATATGCTCCCACATCTTCCTAGACTTGGCTCCATCAATTACCCTCCTTTCTATATTGGGCCCTGTGTAAGTACTACTACCTGGAAAACTAAACTTAGTGGAAAAAAAAATCAACTTTTAAATGTGTGAAACAGTAAATACAAAAAATTGCATAGAATACAAGTTAGATGTACACTTAACAAATATTTATAAGGACAATAGCTAGAAGAGTATCATTCAGGATCCTGGTTAATACCCAGAGTGCTCCATGTGTCTATTCCCAGTGCAACCTTCTTACCCTCCTCCTTAGAGGAAATCATTTTCTTGACTTTTACAATAAACATTTTCTTGCTTTTCTCTACATATTTACTAACTTAAACGTGTCTCCAAAATATGCATTCTTAAGTAATACTTGTTTTTGAATTTTAATAGAATTTTAATTGATTTTGAATTTTCAACAGAATATTATAAATAGATGTGTCTTGGTCTTGTCTTTTAAAATTCAGTTATGCTGTATATGTAGACTTTGCTCATTCATTTTTGATGTTATATACTATTTAATTGGATAAAACTGCCACAATTTATTTACCCATTCTTGTGTTGATGGGCATCCTTAGGTTATTTCCAGTTTCACTGTTATCAATATTCTTATTCACATATCCTAGTGCACAAATTTATTTAGGGTATGTACCTAGGAATGGAATTGCTGGGTCAGAGGTATATATACTATCAAAATTACTAAAAAAAAAAAAAAAAAAAAAAGCCAACCTGTTTTCCACAGTGCTTATATCAATTTTTACTCCAACCAATATGTTCAAGTGTTTCTTCTGTACAACATACTCACCAACTCACGATACCATCAGGCTTCTGACTTTTTGTCAATCTACGTGGTTTTTTATATATATTTCCCTGGTTATGATTGAACACTGTATGTTATGTATGTTTACTGGCCATTTGATGTTTTTTATTTTAGTATTCAAAACTATTTTTACATTTGATTTTCTGGTTGAGAATGACCTCAGTTTCCCAGCCTTGAAAGCAACAGTTAGAATAAATGGGGAATGTTGTGTCTGCTTTGGTTGTTGCGAAGGACTGCACCTAGGTTGAAAGCTTGAGGCCTGTATGAGAACAGTACAAAAGATGCCCATTATAAAGATGGTAGGAAAAAGATTCTGTAGCTTCTGTGTATTACAATGACCTCCACTACATTTAGCTCTCATCTCTGGCAGCTATACACAACTTAAGTGGATGAGAGGGCAAAAGAAAGTATGCAAATGGAGTCTCCCGATGAGATGAATATGTGACACCTGCTGTATACTCCACCTTGTATTCTTCTATAAAGCTAAAAATATTGCATTAGATTAAAGCCTATTAGAGTCTGACTGCCAGTTTAAATCCATAACTGCAACTATGCTGCTATAATGATGAACAAGAAAGGCCTGATACCTGCCCTCACAGCAATTACAATTTAGTGAGAAGATAAGTAACCAATTAAAATGTACTATTTTAACTCTGTGATGGGGGCGGGGCACAAAATCCTCGTAGACAAGTAGAAAGGCCACCTGATCTAGACTTATGCAGATCAGAGAGACTTTCATGGAGGGTATGATGTTTAATTTCGTAAATGAAGCATTTGTACGAGGAACATTAATGATAAAAACTGAAACATTATTTGGAGAAGGTGTCAGAGTGTAACCAGCACAGCTCATATTCTGGGACGAGAAGAAAGTAAGGATGTCTAGAATACATTGTTGAAACAAGAACAGGAAAAATGAAGCCTGGCCTTTCAAGTCATGTTAAGGAGCTGGACTTTATCCTAAGAGCAATGGGAAGACAATGAAAGTTTCAACAGCAGCTCAGCATGATCACTCATGTATTAGAAAGATGTTCCTGTCTTGCTGGGTGGAAAATGATTTAGAGGGAGACAAGACTGATGGGGAAAGGACGTGTGACAAGGTATTGCAGTAACGTAGGTAAGAAATTGGGCCTACACTAGGGTAGTATCAATGGGAATGGAGAGAAATGTAAAGGTTAGGGACATATTTAGGGCTGGGACAGAAAATTTGATATGGGAGTTAGAAAGAGTTGGCAAAGTCAGTGATGACTGGGTTTATGACTTGAGCAGCTAGGTACACGGTTAAATTGTTCAGTAGGCTAGAGACTATTTGAAAAGAAAGATTGAGGACAGAAAAATGGTGACTTCATTTTTGGATATGTTCAAAGTTTGAGGTGCCAGTGAGATATCCATGTAGGGATCTCTAGCAGTAGTTGGATATCTGGGTCTATAACTTCAAAGAAAAATCTGAGCTGAAAAAAGAGATGTATCAATCATCACCATACAGAAATCAAGGAAAATAGACTGTCAGGAAGCATGGTAAACATACCAGATAATGGATAAGGAAGAATCTGTACCCCACCAGCGAAATGGGGCTTTTTCAAATTAATTTTCTTCTTTCCACAAGCACCCCACACTAGACATTCTGCTTCTCCCCAAGGAATCTGTGGCAAACCCTGCTAGTGGCAATAGTCCATATCCATTCTCTCCTTCTCTTTTTATTTTATTTTTTTAATTCTCAAACAAGTACATTTTTTCATTGCTTTAAGAGAGAGGAAGGGAGGGGAGAGAGAGACAGACATTAATGTGAAAAAGAAACATTGATTGGTTGCCTCCTGTATGCACCTGAACTAGGGACCAAACATGCAACCTAAGTATGTGCCTTGACCAGGAATCAAACTCTCAACATTTTGGTGCATATTATGATGATGCTCCAATCAAGTGAGCCACACTGGCCAGGCTCTCCTTCTGTCTATAGAAGACTGACTTTATTCAGCTGGCAATATGTTTAGCTATAAAAGCTTGATTTTCGAGGCTCTCTTGCAACTAAAGGTGGTCTTATGACCTTCACAACTTTTTCTATACATATTCTAATATTAGCCATTTTTATATTAAAAAGATAATAGAATACATACTTTTCTGCCCCTTGCAATTTTCATGCAAAAGTATTTTACAAGGAATGTTTATGTCTTTTCATATTTAATAAATTTTTCAGCCTCCATGTTCTAAAGACTATAATATTTATCAGTGTTTCCTCTCTGCTAAAGCATCCAAGAAATATGCTGTGTATAAACTGAGATCTGGTATTTATCCTCAAGAAACCTATCACCTAGGGAAAAAAGCAGGCTGTATTTTTGTTTATCAGTAAAAAGAAAACTAAAGTATTATGAGAAAAGCAGAAAAAGATAAATGTTGTGTTTTGTGAGTTGCATTAAGATGCCTGTGTGGAAACAAGATGGATAAAACCAAGAGGTAAAAAAGGGTAAATTAAGTGGGACTTTGGAAACCATAGAGATATATATCTATTATAATTATATAATTATCTATATAATTATATTATAATAATAATAATGAAGACCAATAAATCAAGCTCAAATATCATCTTTTGTGTGAAGCCTTCTTGAAATCCTTCTATAGATATTACTTAATCTCTTTTTATTCCCAAAGTACTTCACTTATATTTGACTTTGGGCAGTTTTTAAAGTTGGTAACTGAATCCTGGTTTACCTAAAGTAAAGCATAGCTAGATTTAAGTTTTACATATTCAGTCTTCACATTTTTTTTCTACTAAGTTTATCATTGCACCAAAATCTAAAATAAGTATGCACTAAAATTTAAATAGCGTTTTCCATTATTTCTAGTAACATATCTTTCTGATAATAAATTAGATTCCATAGTAAACTGCTACAGGGACATCATCACATCACAGAAGACATATGGGCTTTAAAATTAAAAAGACCTGAGTTCAACTCCCAGCTCTGCTAATAACTAGGTGAGAAATGTGGGCAGATTACTTAATCTTTCTGACTCTCAGTTATCTCACCTACGAAATGAAGATGATAATTTTATACAGGTTTGTCGATATTTTTAAGATAATAGTTAAGTCAATCCATATAAACTATATGAAAGAATATATAATACTTAGCATATTAACAGATATTCAAAAATGTTAGCTTCTTTTGCTTCTTTTCCAAGTGTATTTTCCTTACATCTCTAATTTGTAATAAAGTGGCACAAATGAAAAATAATAAAATTTTAATAAATCTGCTTAAGTTCCTGCTTTTTAAACTGTTTACATAATGTGTCCTTTCTTAAAAATGATAAGGGCCAAATGAGAAGGGAGAGTTATAAAATACTGATCTGTCCCGTCTAGAAACAATCTTCAGGAGACATCTACTTTGGGGGAAGATTTTAAGCAATAGTACTCCTTGAAACATCAGATGAGATTTCATCTGAGATATTCAAGTACTAATTTGTCAATTAGCTTCTCAGAGAGGGTTTACTAACTTCTTAAATATTCTTTTAATCAAGTCTCATATATGCTCTTTTTTGTTTCCTTATTTAAGATACATTGGTATTTCTACCTAATGTGGCATATTTGTGTATTGTACCCTTGGCAAGGCTATCAAATTAAATAAATAGCATTTGGCTCTCTTTTGGAGATGTCTGGGTCACCTTATATTTAATGTAATAAAGTAGAACTGTTATCAGTATTTTCTCCCTCTGGGAAGCTAATCTGATTAGCAAAACAATCATCCTGGTTGTGGCAGATACTTTTAAAGTGTTTATTAACTCCTTCCTTCTAATACTATGTCACTGCTTTTCTCTCTAGGCCCAACTCAAATATGTCATTTCAGAAACTTTCCGTGATTATCACAGATAAAAATTTATGCATGTCATCTTACATCTCAGTATGTACTTTTAGTATTACACTGAACTGTTTATTTCTGTGCTTTTGTTTTTCCCTCCTTTTCCATTATTTCCAAGATTTTGAAAGTTACTGTAAATCTTGTCACAAACTCCAAAATAATCTTCCACTTAAATATTCCAAAATGATTTTTCTAAGTTTTTGTACCTAAGAACATCAGCAGTTAGAAGCCTGTCAGTTCAGCCCACAAGCAGCCTCTCTTCCTCCTGCCATCACAACCCAGCCTGGCAGCGACCATGAGCGTTTTCTACATTCTGTTGCTGCCTCTCTGCCTACTCTTCTCCTAGATGGCCTCAGGTGTTGGCCTTCTTATCGGTCTACTCCACAGGTATCCAGAATACCAGGGTGCCAAAGCGGGAGGGAACTGCCGCTTTCCCCGCGCCCACTCTACACTGGGACTGAAGGCACCTCTTACAGAGGGAAGGCCAAGTGTTGCCTTGGAGCTGGGAGACATGGAAGGAAGACCAGAAGCCATGTGAATAATTTATAATCATTGTTTTAATGGAAAAAAGAGACCTTTTAAAAAAAAAACCCAGCTATATGAAAGAATAAAAGCAATACTCCAAACTTTAACAAACATAAAAAACTCAGAAAATGCAATTTTCTTTTAAGAACAATGTCCTTGTTTTTTAACACTAGAGTAAGTAATAATTTAGGCTACATGCAATAGATGTCCTTTGTAATCCTCTCTTGAGTCATCTAAACAGACAGACTGTGCCCTTGTCTACATTAGCACTGCAGTACAATACATATATACTACATATATTTTTTTACAAGTCTATTTTCCTGACAAGGTAGTGAGCACCTTGAGACCAGCAGCCGTATCTATTTGCCTTGGTATATCAATATTACTTAATGTTTACTGAGTGTTTACTTTGTGCTAAGGGTTTTTTATATGCATTATCTCATTTAATCCTCAGACAACTTTACAAGACTATGATACCAATTTTAGTTTGTATAATAAGCTTCTTAAGAGCAGGGACCTCTTCATCTACTAATGTATCTCCTGTGCCTAGTATAGCACCTGGCACTTAAAAAGATCAAAGTTCAAGAATTTGTCCAGGATATACAGCTAGTAAAAGAAGAGACTACACTGGAATCCAGGTCTGCCTGACTTTGAAGTCTTACTTTAATTCCAACTTACAGCTCAGAATTTGGTACTGAGAAGGTGCACAGTGCACGTCTGCTGAATGAATGAATGTGTTCTGCCTTCAGGTTGCTTATCCACTTCACACTGGCATTCCCCTACTTCTCTGCTTTTCTATCCTAATTTTTAATCTCTGAGCCTAGGATGTAAGTCATAGCTATAAGCTTTCATTCTGCCTACTTTCCTATCAGCAAATATTACCACTCTATACTGATAAGAAAATATTTATTACTGGAAAAACACATGGAAATTGCAGCATAGGAAATTATATGAATAGCTTGTAACTTTTATTATATAAACATGTCAAATAAGTTTAAACACAAAATGGAAAACTGATGGTCATAAACTTATAAAAATTAACCTCAAATTTCCACATTTTTTTGGTGGTTGATTTTTCTTTCTTATAAAGGCAAACCAAAGATTTATAAAAACTAAACTTTTTAAAAAATAAATGAACTTACTTTTTTTTTTTTTACACTGTATCAATAAATCTTTCTAAATAATGACATCACTTCAAACTATAATGAACAGGGAAGCAAGTTGAGGGTGTTTTCTCCTGTCATATCTACGTAAGTATGTCTATTTTCAGCTGGCCTGTAAAAAAGCAAGGCACAATAAGGTAGTTTTGGAATTTATTTTAAAAAACAGATTTCAGCTCTGGCCAGGTAGCTCAGCTGGTTAGAGCATCGTCCTGATACACCAAGGGTACGATTCAATCCCCGGTCAGGTCACATGCAAGAATGAACCAATGAATGCATAAATAAGTGGCACAACTAATACCTTTCTTTTTCTCTCTCTACCTCTCTCCCCTCCTTCCTCTTTCTCTCGAAAAAAAAAAATCAATGTATATAGTCTGCTTTAAAAAATTAATAAAAGTAACAAATATTTACTTATTCTATAAGCACAAAATATTCTAAAACTACAAGGTCTCTGATAATCCTGAAATGTGTGCTTATTTATTTCTTTATTTTTATTTGCTAGTTTGTTAAAAGAATGGTGACAGGAGTCAAACAAACCTAGGTTACAGTCCTCCTGGCTCTACCTCTTAATAGCTGTGTAACCCTGGTGCAAATTACTTAACGTTTCTGAGCTCATTTTCCTTATAACGTGGACAATAATCCCTAATTAACAGGACTGCTGGGGAGATTAGTCTGTGTAGTAATGAGCATAGTGCCAAGCACATGGTAGCACTCAATAAACAATAGACAGCTCTCTTTAGTTAGGGTCTGCTACTTTATTTCATTTTGGTTTCATTATGGGATGCATTTAAATCATTATTTCCTACAGTGAAGTTTCCTGTGTTTGCTCCCCTCAATTTAAATAACCTTCCACATCAAAAAACTTATTAAAATATATACTAGTGGGAAAATATTCAAGGACTTTTCAGTCTATCTTTCTGAGAAAAGAATGTCATACAAAAGACTTTATATATGCCTATGTATAAGGCTTCCTGTTTTTTGTTTGTTTGTTTGTTTTTGTTTTCTTTCTGCTTCTAAGAGCAATGCTACATCTGCATTACTGACTTCCAACAGCCAGGTGGGCCTGGGCAATGACCGTTCCAGGTGGATTCTTATTACCTACAGTGGACTCCTATAGGCACTTGAGTTCGCAACCTGTTTTCAACACTGAGTTTTCTTAGGATATCTACAGTTTTATTTTTCTAAAGTTGTATCTACATATTATTTACCAGAAAACAAAAACATAAGACAGGCAAGTATGATTAATCAATTAAATGTGTAATAGTTTTTAAGAATTACCTGATGGAATACAGGCTCCTTTACCTTAAGGTAAACCTGCAAAATATTAAAACACATATAAATGAAGTGTATTATGGAGGGGAAGAGAAAACCTATTCCAACAATTCTGCAAATCCCAAACCTCTCCTGCTTTCCTAGTCCTGTTACTTAGACCTGGCTCCAGCCATATAAAACCAATCAGATTAGGTGGCATGGAGGGCTAGTACCTACGGGTGGGTCTCCCCCCAGTGCTAGCTTTACAATGGTAAACTGTAGTTTCTAAACTGTTGTGGATGACTCTGGCCTCTTGGCCTCTGCATCAGTATCAAGGAGGGGCAAAAATGCACAGGTACTCATGATGGCTGATGAGGTTACGCCAGACAATCCTGTTCTACAGTAGAAAGAACACTGGCTTTGGAGTTAGAGACACAAATTAAATTTCAGACTCTGCCACTCACTTGTTACATGATTTGAGCAGCACATGTAAGTGGCATCACAACCAAAAAACTAATTTTCCCTTATCTGAATAATGGGAATAATAGTGGTAAGGAATAAGAAGCTAAAATACATGAAAGTGTTAGCATAAGAGATGCTCTGTAAGTGAAAACATTTAAAATGAAGTCTCTTGGCCTCTGCTTCCCAAAACCTTTAACACACTCACCTAGATGTGTTCCCAGTTACACAAACTATAGTTTTAGGCTCCAGTGTCATGTGAGTGGTTAAGTTCAATGCCTATTCAAGAGTTAGCATGCATTTATTGCATTATAGGAGTATGCCTTTTTTTTCAGATTTTATTTATTTATTTTTAGAGAGAAGGGAGGGAGAAAGATAGGGAAACATCAAATATGTGGTTGCATTTTGTGTACCCCTGCTGAGAAACCAGCCCCCAACCCAGGCACGTGCCCTACAATGGGAATCAAACTGGCAACCATTTGCTTTGCAAACCGGAGCTCAATCAACTGAGCCACACCAGCCAGGGCAGGAGTATGCCTTTAAAATGATGTTGTAGAGGAATCAAAATTGAAATCATAATCTTGAAATGACTCCTATCACTTACAAGACAAAGTCCAACTTTCAAAGCCTTCCATGATCTCACTCCTGCCTTCCTGTTTGGGTTTCCTGCCGTTCTCTTGTTTCTGTTTCATCCTTGGCTCCAGAAACTACAGTGTTTTCCCACATGTGCTATATTCATGCTTCTGTATCTTTAAATATGCTGTTCTTCACTTTGTTCAGAAATCCTCCCCTGCTGGTAAATACTCATCTTTCAAGATTCAATTCAAACTACACCTCTTTCTTGAAGCCTTTTCTGATTCTCTCCCTATTTAACAAAAGCAACCACTCATCTTCCTCTGTACCCTTATTGTCCATGTGTACATGGTTCTATGCCTATGGACAACGTCATACAGTCTATTTAGAAATGTTTCACTACACTCTTGCCCAAGGGCCTGGCGAACTTCTAATCATCAGTTAAAACCCAGCTTAAGTGCCTTCTCTATGGAAGTGTTCTTGATCCACTCAAGCAATCTTCATTGAATACTCCTTCATTTCATCCTTTTATAACCACTTTTTGCCTCTATTATTGTAATTATCATCTTTTGAAGCAATTCATTTTTTACATGTTTGACTTCCCTACTAGAAAGTACTCCTCAAGCAAAGCAACTTCTTCTTAAACATCTTTGTATTTTCAATTCCTGATATGGTAGGGCTGCAATAAAAGTTTATTGAAATGAGTATCTCTCTAAACAAAACGCAATTCACTTGGGAAAAAAAGCTATCTCAAGTTACGAGGAAAAGGTTAAAATATAGACATACTAGGCTCGAAAGAGCACAGCTAATCTCTCTCTCTCTCTCTTTAACAAACAGAAGGCAATATATCTATGAGAAAAAGTTTATTTTTTCCATTACTACTCAACATTGTTAGCCTTTTGATTTTTCCCTGTTTTTTTTTTTTAAACCAGAGTTTCAAAAGTTGTTTCAACTTTTTGTTGAGAAATAACACCTAAACAAGAAACAAAAAAAGCAGTATCTGTGAGTTTTGTGTAGAAACATTTCAGTTTGAACAGCATGAAGCAAACACTGGAAGCAAAATGTGCCAAACTTCATAAATGGCTAGTTCACATGCTTAATCTGTTAGACAAAGGATGACTTACTGTGGTTACTATTAAACTGAATAGAACTAAGGTAAAAAGCAGGTGGTAGTTTACTGTGTTCTTGATCTTGAAACATTCAAACCTTAAAAACAGAGGAAGAAAAAGAAAATGGCTTTAGAATATATAACTAGGAAAATAAATAAAATCCTGTTTAACCACCTGCACAAGAGCCTCTGGGTTTACTGATGCCCGTCATTTCTTCCATGCATACCCTCACCTTAGAGAACTTGTACTGTCTACAGCCTCCGAGAGCCTGGGGGGGCCAGGAGAAGGCACCTTACTTAAACGGGTCCAATGAGAGGCTCTCCCCTAAAAATCTGGAGTTTAATAGCTGGACTGAGGCATTTCATTATAGAAAATATCATTCTATTATAATTGTCTCTTTACTTACCTGTCTCTCTAACCAGACCATAAATTCCTTGTGTGCAGGGATAAAATCTTTTTTCCATGTATTGAGTCACTATGATAGGATATTCAGTAAATAATAAGTATGAATAAATATATGGCCATCAGTTTAAGTATCCAATGTTTCAACCTATGTTTCAGTACAAGCAATAAGAGTGTTCTCAGTTTACTAATTCATTGGCTGTAGGAATTGGACCCAACTCCTATTTCCTTACCTGTAAGGAAAGGTGGTGGCCCAGATCATTTCCAAGATCTCTTTTATCTTTAAATTCTGGAACTTGATGACTTAGTAATAAGAGCTCATCTGAAAGTATTTTTCTAGATCAAGGCAGCAAACCACAGCCCGAGGGCAATTTCTCAGCCTAAGCCTGTTTTTTTCATAAATAAACTATTACTGGAACATAGCCACACCTACTTTTTTGCATATCTCCCACGCTACAAAGGCAAAGTTGAAGAGTTGCAACAGAGACCATAGGCACACAAAGGCAAAAATAATTACTATCTGACCCTTTACAGAAAAACATTTCAGAGGAACTCTTTTTTAAAAATATTTTTTGAACTATTTTTCTGAATTTTACATGTCTTTAGAAGCTATTCTTGAGCTAGCAATGATGAATACACTGAAAATAATCAGATTACCATCACATAGAAGCTCAGAGATGTCTTAAGTATTAGCGTTAGGGAACAGAACATATACTTTGAAGGTAAGGTTATTAAACTTGTAGTTCAATTTCCAAGTCTGACACCTACTAACTGCATGACCTTAGGTAAGTCACCTAAACATAAGTTCTGCTTATATCTGTGAACAAAAAAAAGGGGTTCTACAAAAAAGTAGCTTCGCAGGGCATCTGATCATAAATTCCTAAGTGGTCAGGTCATGGTGGGTAGCAACGCCTCAGGCATATAACTTTTTAGTAAAAGTTTTATCTTTGCCATAGGAAGCCTTGTCCATTGTTTCTGTGCATCTAGGTTAACACATCTTTGAAATAAGCTCAACCACCCTTAAGAAAGTACATAATCTTGTAAACTATCCAATCCCTGCCTTGCTTTCTCCAACCTTCATGTAATCTTCCCTCATTCCCTCTTCAATTCCAAATGCATAAAAGAAACTGCAAAACTGTCATTCTTGGACCATTTGCAATCTTGCTTCCCAGTAACTGTCATCAGTTTGGGCTCAGATAAACTCTTAAAAAACCTCTCTATAGGCTTGGAAGATTCTTGTATCAACAATACCCTCAGACAAGTTACTAAATCTGTCTGTGCTTCATTTTGTCATCTATAATATGGGAACAATATGCATTCATCTTGCACAACTGTGAGAATTAGAGATGACTTGGTATCTCTAGAACATTTAGAGGTACAAAGTAGATAACTATTATTTTTATGGCATAATACACAAAATATTTATTTTAACATGTATACATTCATAACTCAAGGAAAGGCAAATTATGTAAGTTAAGTCAAATTTAAGTAAGAGTCTACCTGATTGGCTGTATGGTATTGAGAACAAAAGTTAATAAACAACACTTTAACTTCCCAGAGACTATACTCTATATTAAGATCACAAATATCATAACCTACATTATTACAATCTCTCAGTAATATTAACTGAGTTAGTTATATAACTTAATTGGCTATGAGGTCAATATGAATTTTAAAATATAGCAAACAACTTAAGTTTAAATACTTACATGCAGTACACAAATATACAACAGCTATAAATCATTGGGAGTTCATCCAAAAGCTGTAAGAAACAAAGGCAAATAACAGTACATGAATATTATAGAGTTGCGATTATTATGCGAATCAAAATAAAACATGATTAAAATGGTCACTTCATTACCTAGTATGTTTTATTAATTCTTTTATATATTACTTAATTTACACTGTATTTATTTTAGTTTATTGTTTTTGAACAAACAAGCTTATCCATCCATGTGTCTGTCCTAATGTACATACCCAAGTATAATGTAGGACTCATTGGGCAGCTCAGATCATTTGGGATCACAAACTATAATACCATACTTCCAGGAAAGAATGATGTCCGCTATGTAGAGGTCTGTGGGTCCTATCAGTGTTCTTTTACATTTCTGCCCTTTCCTATAGCATTTAAGATGGGTAAAATGTCTACTAATATACTAAGAAGAAGTATGAATGGTCAGGGAAGTCATTCAATTAATCTAAGTAACTTATGTCTCAGAAAAAGAATATTATTATCAATAATAATTATAGCTATTACATATTAAACTACAGTGAGACACTAAGCTAAGTGTTATAGGTGGGTTATTGCTAATCCTTAAACCAATCCTAAACCCAATCTTATGTGTGGAGAGTGCTCTGAAAGGAGAAAGCACAGATGTGGGAGGAACAGCCAAGCAGTCACAGCAGCCCAGGCTACGGAAGGCTGCTTCAGGAATTAAGGTAGCAGAACTGGGATTAGACACAAGTCAACAGGCCTGAGAGATATTTAGGAAGTAAAATAGACAGGGAGTTGTGGCTGATTTGATACAAAGGTGACGGACACCAATGATGACTCCCTAGTGTTTTGCTAAGCACTTCAGATGATGGTAGTACAGTTTACTGAGGTTGTGAAAACAGAGAAAATTATAAGAACGATTTTCAAAATGTTGAGTCTGAGGTAGCTGTGAGGCAGATACCAATCGGACAATTAGAAATGCAAACCTGTAGTGGAAAAGAAAGTTCTGGACTCCAGATTTTGGTTGCTTGTTTATTTCTTTAAAGAACTAAATTGAACTAAGACATGTTAAAATCTGGGTGATACAAGTAGAATAATCTTATTTCAAAACCATAAATAGCAAAATTATGACTGGTAAAAGGGCACAGAGTTCCAGAGTAGCGTGGGGTATGGATGTGAAGATGAGTCTGGAGAGGTAGGCAGGGGCCAGATGACAAAGCCTGTGGTTCAAATTTATAAGCTTCAACTATAAAATGTGGCACGCTGGGACAGCAGAGACTGTATTTTATGCATCTCATCCCCAGCACTTACACAAAGCCTAGCAAATATCGCTCAAAGAATGAAAACAATTAGTTTTGTTTGTAGGACAAGTGCTTCTGTCCCAGTGTGACAGATGGATAAGGAAATGCAGGGACACCGATCGCAGAGATCCGGGCTGGAGGTGATGGGTTCCGGCAGTGGCAGTACAGAGAGCCAGAGGCAGATGTACCCAAGAGTTATGAAAGTTGAATCAAGAGGTTTTAGAGGCTGTAGAGGTGAGAAAGTGGAGAAATTAAAGATGAATCACAAGCTTTTGGCTTGGGCTTTCAGTATAAAATGGTTTCATTCACTAAGATAGGGAACAAAGGAGAAAGGGAGGTAGTATTTTTAACTAGAACATCTGTTGTTTACATGATAAAGTCTGAATTAGCTTACATTATTACCTAACATTTAAGCTGTTTTTTATTTTTGTATCATAAAGTTATAGGTGAGCAAGCATTTTTCTTTGGTTTTATTTTCTAGGATAAGTAAATTCTTTTTACTTATGAGAAAAAGCTACTATATTCATTTTTTACTAGCATTTATTTTTTCTAGTATCAAACATATTATATGTTCATTACAGAATACTTGGAAAAGGCAGAGAAACACAAAGAAAAAATTAAGATACTGCCTTTAATTTTACCCTCCCCAAGGCTACCAGTAACTGTATATTTTGGTTAGTGAGAGCAAAAAAGAATGAGTTGAATGAGTAAATAAATGAAAAAGGTGTGGGAGAAGACATCCAAAAGCTTAAGATACTTATACTCCTACCACGCTCAATACAAGACACAATCCTAAAACAGATAAAGGAAACAAAACAAAATGGAAGTTGGACCCTAATCTTGTCTTCAACTTCCCAAAGCATTCTTAGGCTATTTTTCATTTATAAAATTTGTAGATTGTACTAAATATTAAAAATCTCTTCTAATATTAAAGCCCGGTGATTTTAAATTGTCTTTTGGTACATTTACCCCTTATTTGAAGTCCATCTGTTCACTCTACCCCATCTCTAATGTTTTCCTCAACCTTATCTCCAAATGCACTGCTATTGGCTAGTTGCCACAAGAACATAACACATTAATACTGAGAAAGGAGTTTGTAATAGCTTAAAATGTTACCCTTCACAAGGGCACATAAAACTTCACAGTATTCAAAGGAGTGAATTCCTAACAATGGACCAGTAATGGTGGTTTCAGATGTTCAGAGTGGCTGAAGAAAATGGAAGGGAACTATTATTTATTAAATATTTATTTACCAGATCCTATGTTGGCATTGTGTTTTCACATATGCCAATCCACTGATCCTCATAATACTCTTAACAGGTATTATTAGACAGATGAGAAAACTAAGGTTCAGCAAGATTAAGTGGTATGTCTATGCTTGAACAGCCAGCAAAGGGGTAGAGTCAGAACTGGAACATAATAAATCTGAAGAAAATGCCATCCATGCTCTAACTCATTCTTAAAACAGAACTGTCAATATTTGCTTGAGCTCACTTTAGGCAGAACTGGGCCTCCAATATCTCTACAGCTACAAGCTGGCAGAATGGTTCACTGATCACCAGGGCCAGGTTAAGTGACAGCACTGCCATTTCTTACTTTACATGGGTGATTGTATATAATAAATGATGGCTTAACATAACCAAGTTAGATTTATCCTGAAAGGAGGCAACACAGGGATCCTGTAAGGAATATTCATGATCATTTAATATTTAGGTTAAAGAGATGGAGAAGTCCTTCGCTATTGATGATTCTTCCTTCCTCCTCAATAATTGGGAAAATGGGTCATGTCATTTCTGCCCAGTTAGACAGGTACATAAAACCATAACTTGTAGTCCAAAAGGGGAAGAAAATAAGCCATCTGTATAATTTGTCCATGATGAAGTAGTATTTTAGTGATGATAAAGCACAGATTCAAAGTTCTAAGGATCAAAGGCCATCTTGTCCATCCAAATGTGTGTTACCTTGCTAACGACCTTGCCAACAATTAAGTTTATATGTCAATCCAAGTGTGTCCCCACCTCTGCTCAAAATCCATTAGTGGCTCACAGGGGATAAAGCTCAAGAGGCTTAAATCTGTCCTCTGGTCAGTTTCCCAAACCACACCTCCACATAGTTCAATGCCTGCCCCAGAGCAGGTAATCAATAATTTAACACACATTAGCTATTATTACTGGCAGCACTACTGCCATCATCACCACATGCTTCAGTTCCATGGCTACAACCCTAACGCACCACTTGCAGTACTCTGAGATACCAGCCTGACTCCCACTTCTCTGTGCATTCTAGTTGGCCTGGCAAATTCCTATTCATCTTCGACAATGCAACTCAAACATGGGTCTGAGTCACCTGTGTGAAACCCATTCTCTGATCTTCCTACCCTAAATAATTAATTTCTTTTTCTATTTCTATAGGACTCTGTATATCCCTTTGTCACTGCATTCGATCTTCATTCCTAGACAAATGACTCCTCAAGGAAAAAACATCATCTTTCCCTACGCATACATGTTGCCCGGGTATCAAATACAAAAATTTGAACTAATTAAAGTGTTTGTTCAACCTTTACTTGGGCACCTTCAAGGACAGAAGACTCAAGATCTCCCAAGGCAGTCTTTGCCATCTTCTAGTTCAGACGATTCTTCTTTATGCTGAGCAAGATGTCTCTTTATCTTTAATGCCCTTAGGACCACATGGAATAAATCTAATACTTTCAACAAGTCAAACCTTAAACACTGATTTCATAAAACATTTATGCAGTGCTATATGGCACTCTTGTGATAGAAACAGGTCATACACCAAGGTCAACCAGAGAGAGTCCCTGCCCCCCGCCTTTTTTTTCCAGAGTCCTTGGCTCTTAGATAACTCACATTTTGGCAGAGAAGTCAGACACATATATAATATATTCATAAAATAACACTGATAAGAGCAGTATTAGAGATGCACAGAGTATTATGGAAAAACATATGAAGAGTACATATCCTGCCCTGGGGCCATGGAAGGCTACCTGGTGGGGGTGCCACCTTGCCTGAGACTTTGAAGAACAAACAGAAATTGTCCATGAGGGGAAATGCAGTAAAGCCAGGCATGAACAAATGCACAGAATAGAGAGTTTGGTGATTAGAGGTGAGTATGGGTCACTGAGCATGTCTTCTCTTCTTCCAGGTAAATACAGTCACACACTGACCACATAGTGACATTTCCCTCAATCATGGAATGAATATACAACAGTGGTCCCATAAGATTATAAGGAAAGATTAAAAATTCCTATCACCAAGTGATGTTGTAGCCCACGTGAAGTCTTAACATACATGCTACTCACATGCTTTTGGTGATGTTGGTAAAAACAAAACTACTGCATTGCCAGTTGTATAAAAGTATAGCACATACAATTACAGTAGTAGGTTACACCATCTAGGTTTGTGTAAGTACACTATGATGTTTGCACAAAAATGAAATTGCCCAATGCATTTCTCAGAACATATTCCAATGTCAAGCAGCACATGAATGTATTCCCAGTTCCTTCCCTTCAGGAGTCATGACTAGGTTTTTAGTGCTTTCACCATTCCGGTGTCCTTCATTTGAACACATGCTAGGTTAGTCCTCAGAAGTGAATGTAATATTCTTGCCACGATCTGATCAACACAGAGTGGGCAAGCCTATCCCTTCCCTGACTCAGATGCCTATTCTTGCCTAACATCTTGTTTCAGCACATTCATCTAGCTGTTTCTTCATACATATGGGACAGATAAATAATTGATAATATGGGCTTCAGCAAAACTGAAAACTTTTCTTGCTTCAAAGGATATTATTAAGAAGATGAAAAAAAAACCTCCACAGAATGGAATAGTTGCACACTATGTATTTGGTAAGGGTCTAGTATGCAGAACAGATAAAAACTCTTACAACTCAATGAAAAAAGGCAAGTAACCCAATTTTTAAAAATGAACAAAGGATCTGAACAGATATTTCTCTTAAGAAGATATACAGATAGCCAATAAGCACATGAAAAGATGCTCAACATCATTAGTCATTACAGTCAAATGCAAACCAAAACCACAATGAGATACCACTTCACACACAGGACAATATAATCAAAAGGACAGACAATAACAATTATTGCCAAGGATATTAAGAAATAGCTGGTGGGAATGTAAAATAGTGCAGTCACCTTGAAAAACAGTCTGGCAGCTCCTCAAAAGGTTAAGCATAGTGTTACCATGTGACCCAGCAATTCCACTGCTAAATATCACATACCAAGAAGAACTGAAAACTTGTACACAAAAACTTGTACATGAATGTTCATAGCATTATGCATGAAAGCCAAAAAATGGAAATAACCCAAATGCCCATTAATTGACAAATGGATAAACAAAATGTGGTATATATAGACAATGGAATTTTAATTGGCCTATGTAAAAGAAGATAGACACAAAAGGTCACATACCACATATCATATGATTCATTGCTAAGACATATAGGCAAATCCATAGAGACAGAGAGTAGACTAGTCATTGTTAGGGGGTAGGTGGAGGGAATAGTAGAGAGTGACTACTAATGGGTTTCTCTTTGAGGTGATGAAAATGTCCTGGAATTAGATTGGGTTTGAATGTCTTCAATTTTTAGATTCTTTCCAAGCTCCTCCATGTTACCATAGATTATTTATACTTCTTTAAAAATAATTTTAATATTTATATTGTTGTTTTCCCAGCCAGAAAATATAAGAATTTTTTCTATGCTTGATTAGGTCAGACCAGTGTCTTATCATTTGCATATTCTCCAAATCAAGCATGGCATGCACAACACACATGACATTTTCTTATAAATACGTGTTGAAAATTAAAATGAATCTAAGAATTCTTATACATTTAATATAGCTAAAATTAATCATTCATATACTGTTGTATATACAGATCATTCCAGAATTAACACTGTCCAATACTAGCCTTATGTGGCTACTGGGCACTTAAAATAAACCTAATCTAAGATCCACTGAAACTATGAAATATAGATCTGATTTTAGGACGTGAAGCATTTCATTAATAGATTTTTATATTTACTACAGGTGTAAGTAATACTTTGGGTATATTGGATTAGATAAAATATATTATTAAAATTAATTTCACTTATTTTTTTAATGTGGTTTTTATTAATGTGGCTACTTGAAAATTTTAAATTACTTATGAGGCTCACATTATATTTCTGTTTCTAGACAGTGCTGTTCTAGAAGTTTCTGGTTTAGTGATGGGGAAAAGAGAAGTCAGAAGATTGAGGACTAGATACATGGCCTCCTTAGAGCAAGGGCAATACATAAAAATGTTTGCACAGCTCTAAAACCTTGCTACCTAGAAGAACCAGAACATTCAAATGGACTCCGAAAGAGAGAAACATGAAGGAATGCAGGCATCTAAGAATAAAAATATATTATTTTGATGAACTCATTACAACTTTTTAAGATGTCTCTATGGGACTCTACTCTTTAATCCTGTTCTAAAATTGTACATACCTACACAGAGGTGATCAAAAATTATACCCTTCACTTGTCATGGACCATTTATTTGCTTGCCTCTTTACTTCACTTAGTCAATCTGGATCCTTTGGCCTCAAGTAAAAACTCCAGAGATTACTAATTTCATTTTGTTTTCCAGGCTCTTGTCTTGATTATCCTCTAGTAACATGCTCTTTTCTCAAATTTGAAGTATCTCTGGATTAGGAAAAATAAGCATTTAGTCAATTTTTTCATTACTGACCTGCATTTCATATTTCAGAGTCATGTGGAAGCACCAGGATCCCATTCCTACCACTGAAATTAAAACAAACAAATAAAACAATTAGCATTAAATTCTTTGGAGGTAGACAGAGTGACTTCAGAAGACAATAAGACAGTTCAAAGCACTAAGCTGTATTTTTTTAAAATTTATTTTTAGAGAGAGGGTAAGGGAGAGAAAAAAAGAGAGAAACATCCATGCATGAGAGAAATAAGGATTGGTTGGTTGCCTCTTGCATGCCCCCAACCGGGGACCTGGCCCATAACCCACACATATGCCCTGACCAGGAATTCAACCTGCAACCTTTTAGTTTGTGGGAGGATGCCCAACCCACTGAGCCACCCCAGCCAGGGCTCAAAGCACTGAGTTTTAGGAAGAACAAAGTTTATGAAATCTGTATCAGGGAGCTGAAGAAAGTTTAAAGAAAGGCTTTCTAGAGGAAATAACACCTAAATTGAATCTTGAATGACAAAGATGTTTAGCTTACTAGATAAAAGAGGTTAAAGGCAGAGATGTATATACACGTGTTACTAAAAACAGCAAATTAGGTGCTGAAGTGTAATGTACATGTGAGAGAGCTGTGGAAGATGTGGCTAATGAGGCAGAGAATCCAGGGTAGGCCAAACCTCAGTCAAGATACATAGATTTACAAATTAGTTATTTCTTTAAAGGAAAAAATGGTTGAATTCAAAGATGGCATGCCTGGCTGGAAAAAACTGGTGAAATTTAGGCACAGTAAACCAGTTTTCAGCATTGATAGGCTACAATTTATCAACAGGTACATACTTTCTGTAATATCATCTAAATTGACCCAAATAAAAAATTCAAGAATGGTGAGGGTGAGTTAGTTAAGCCAATGGGACAAACGCGAAATATGTGAAAGTTAAACAATATTCATTGACCCTTAAATTACACAAATTAGAAATTCTGGTGATACTTGAATCTAATCATTTTTCTTTTCTTCCTCTTGCATGCAAATTGATCGATCCAATCACGTGGAGAATAAAATATTGAATTAATATAAGGGTGACTCTTGGCCAACATTTTATATAATTTTTCCCTTGAAAAGACTGAATCATGAAAGTTAAAATAAGATTCACATTTATAGGAATATCCAGAGCATGCCAAAAATCAAGTAACAGGGACAAGTTCCCTGCCATGGTCATGGCTGAAGAGAAAACTGAGGCAGACAAAATAGTAATGGCATTGGAATAGAGGTCAATGTCCCATTTGCATCTTCTAGTTAAATGTTCATAGTCACAGCACTTTACTATAGTTTTAAGAGTCTCTCAAGCATATAATAGATTTCACTGTGTTGGAACCTCTTGATTCAAATACTTTGGCATGCTACCAGTCAAAGTTTTCAAGGTTACAAAAGAATACAGATATGCTCTGGTACATATTTATTTTGACTAACTACACTGTGGAAAGAGTGCACAATGGCTTTGGAAGCAGACCTTAACTAGAATCCCAGATCTATCACTTACTACGTATCAACTTGAACAAGTTGCTTAAATCTCTTTGAGGCTCAGTTGCCTCATCTGTAAAATAAGAATAACAATGTTTATCATGAAAGGTTGCTTGAGAATTACCTAGCATGTACCTGGCATAAACTATGTATCAAAAAATTTTATTTTCCAGCTTCTAACTCAAGCTATGAGAAAATGTATGTACATAGAGAATGAAATCCTTAGATTTTGGAAGTAGGTTAGCTCATTTGCCATGCCACAAAATTAAAGGCCCAAGAAATACTCAGTTCCTTTTAAATTACATCGTGATTTACCATAAAGCATAAGAAGGGACCCAGGGTAGATGAAGAAGGAGAAGGACATATTAACTATAAAGTATCAAAGGCATTAACACTACAATGTATGATTGTTTTTAAATCTATGAACAACTTAGTGTTATTGGTGGTGTCAAAACAATGCCAGCTACAATTATAGGGCATGTGGAATTGTACTTTCCTGTTAAAGTTAGCATTCACATTAGAAACAAAAGGTTCTGTCATATTAGAGAGGTAGTAGAGTGCAATGATTAAAAGCATGAGCTTTGTAGAATTGTCCTAAGAAGTTTGGATTTCATCCCTAGACTGATGGGAAGACATTAGGGTATTTAACAATGGCTTTTCTAATTGTTTGCAGCTTACCGTAAAGGGAACTGATCACTCACTCCCTTTTCTAACCTATCACTAATCTAGCATATAACGTTATTAAACACACAGAGAAAAGCCAGAATATCCTATTTAGTCTTATCAATGTGTTTTGGATTACTTTTTCCCTTCCTACTCCAAATACGGATGCTGCAACATTAGTAGGTGGGCTACTACATTAATTTAGCAACTCATGGGCTACAGTAGTAACCACATTACTGTGGTAGGCACAACAATGGCTCCTAAACATGTCTACATCCTAATCTTGTGACTAGTAAACAGATTATTACAGTATGCCCAACCTAATCACCTGAGTCGTCAAAAGGACTCTTTGGGAGATGTGACTACGAAAGAATGGTCAGAGAGATGCAGGGTTACTAACTTTGAAGATGGAAGAAAGGAAAGAGGTGTGGGCAGCCATATAAGCTGGGAAAGACAAAGGAAACTGACTCTCCCCCTAGATTCTCCAGAAAGGAACACAGAACTGCCCACATCTTAATTTTCGCCCAGTGAAACTTGTGTTAGATTTCTAATCTACAAAACTGTAAGATAATATATTTATCTTATTGTCTTAATCCACTTAATTTATGGTGTTTTCTTATAATAGCAATAGAAAAACAACACAATTACTAACACTTGGCTAGTATACTAGTTACTGAACCTGTATCTGAAGTACCTTTTAGAAATTGCCTAAAAAATTTGGCTCATCTGAAGACTCTCAAGAAAAGTAAAAAGGCAAGTTGTAGATTGACAAAATATTCACAATTCATATTAATATATGACAAAAGGCTCATGTCCAGAAAATGTGACATAAAAATACATAAAAAAAGACAGACAACTCAATTTTAAAATGGGCAAAAGACTCATCACAAAAGATATCAAAGGGCCAATAAACTTTTGACAAGTGCTCAACATCATTACTTGTTGGGGAAATACAAATTAAAACCTCGGTGAAATACTACTGCACCAAACCACAATGACTGAAAAAGACTGACAAGTATGGGTGACAAGGCAGAATAAAAGGAACTCTCAGATATATTGCTGGTGGGAGTATAGAATGGCCCAACCATTTTAGGTAATTGTTTGGTAGTTTCTAAAAATAATTTCAACACAGACAACCCTGTGACCTAGCAAATCTGCTCCTAGACATACACCCAAAAGAAATGAGTGCATATGTCCATCAAAAGACATACAAAAAAACCCCACAGAATCTTTATTCATAAAAGTCCTAAACTGAAAACAACCCAAATGCCCTTTAACAGAAAAACGGGCAAATGGATTATATTATATTCACACAATGAAATGTTACACATCAATAAAAAAGAATGGACTATTGATATAAACAATGCTGATACTCAAAAATACTACATCAAGTAAAAAAAGCTAGATGTCATGATACACACTGAATGGTTCCACTTATATATAGTTTAAGGACATGCAAATTAACATATGAGAACAGAAGTTGGAATAGTGGTTATCTCTGAGGTGGAGGTGTGTTGACTGAGAAAGGGCACAGGGAACTTTGCGGAGTGACTGAAATTTTCTGTATCTTGATCTGGGTGGTGGTTACATAGGTGAAATCTCATTGAACTGTTATATATATCTAAGATTTGTACATTTTGAAGAGTATGAAATATACCACAATTTAAAAAAAGAATTGGAAGGGGTAACCTCTTGCCTGCTGTGCTCCAAACACATATTGCCCATCAAAATACTCCTACCAAAGTGATTTGCTTTAATACTATGCATACTGTTTCTGGAACATTTACCCAAGCCTTCAGGCAGGTTAGGTTAGTAACAATAGTAAATGTTAAGAACATTAAGTAAACATTAGGAACATTAGTAAACATTAAGGTAGGAGCATTAGTAAACAAATGTTCTACTGGTAGAGGAAAAGAAAGAATACAAAATAACAATGACAATAATAGATTAGAGATAATATGGTAATTGAAGGGAGAACTAAGATAATTCTATTTAAGAACTATAGCCAAAAGAGGTGAATATTTGGACGGCATTGGTAGGTTAAGGTATGTTCAAGAGAATGGAGCTAAAGGAATAATAGAAATGAAATGATGTTATGATTTTATATTTGTCATTCAATTATTGTCTTATTCTGGTTCCAGTCTAAAACACTGAAACATAAGGCACATTTGCAGCCACAGGAACCAGATGAGGAGCCATTACAACTTCCTGCTTTCTGCCTCAGGTTATTTTCTACCAGGCTCTTTCTACCTTTCTACTTTTACTTTCCTCACTTCCTATTCACTGACTACATGGGCTGTTTAGAATACTATTTGTGGTTCCTGCTTCCCTGGTTGAGACTGTTGCTGGGTTTGGCTACTAGGTTGGCCATGTTTAGTCAGTGTCTTCATATGAAAAACCGTAAGCATATGCACAACGATTGAGAACAATGAACTAAAAGTGAAAATACTGCTTCTGTTGGGTGATGGGATTATGGGCATTTTACATTATTTTCCAAATTTGTCTTCAATGTTACTATCACACACACTTTTTAAAAAAAAACTAGAAAAAAGATCATTGATGCTTTTGGCAACGTTTGGAAAACTGGGACTAAATAAAGAGGGATAAATAAATTAGTAAACAAGTTATAAAATGATTTCTAAAGGTACTTTCCACAGCACATAGATTTTATGTATAATTCATTACTAAATATAATTGCTATAATCTAAAATGTTATTAATCTAGTATGAAGTATACTCACTTGCCCCTTGACAAGAGACATAATGTTCTTAAGATCATTTCAAATGATTTTGATTTAGTCTGGCACTAACAAAGTCTAGGTATGATCACATTAAACTTAAGGTAACTCCGAGTAAAGATTTGCAAAGGTCCTTTTCATAGGAAAATGACTTTGTGTTTCATATT